AGATGTGTATAAGAGACTACTGTAGAACACAGAAAATGAGGTCAAAAACAGTGGTGACAGCACCGATTCAAATTCCCATGTCGGAGACTCAAGTTTAGATGTTAAAGACTCAAGTTCAGATGTTAATGACATTAGTATCAAAGATCAAGTCAATGAAAGGGTACAAGAAGTAGACAATGAAAAACAGTTAAATGAGAACAGTGACAGCAATATGGAGGAAAGTGATGATCAAAAAACAGCTGAACTGGTAGACAGTGAAAATGCAGAAACCATACATGATGAAGAAGATAATTTAAATGATGATGCAGAGGAGGATGATGATGATGTTGGCTGGATAACACCAAGTAATATCAATCAGGTGAAAAACCACATTGACTCAGATCTGACAGAAGCAAACACTGTTAAAGTTGGATGTCTTACTACAGATTTTGCAATGCAGGTGTGTATACTGCAGTTAATTTTGTGAATACTTAACCAGGATTAACTGATAATTGCCATTTTTTTAGTTTTTAAAGAAAATGAACACCTCACAAGAGAATAGAACCATCCATCTATGGGCACAACATGACCATGCTAATGTCCATAAGCCAATCCTCATTCTTTTGTAATTTAGTCCTTGGTATACCAGTCGGACCCCAGATTGATAAATAGTGGAAGGTGGAGCATACAAAACATTTAGATTGACAAGCAGTGTATTTTCAAATTTAAGGGTTGTGGCATTCATCCCATGCATATGAATAAAAGCTTATAAATTCTTAGTATGCAACTCATTAACGACAACATCATCCTCTGCATAGACTCTAAATAATTCAAGCCATCCTGCTATATCATCTATCGTGATGTTCAAATATTAAAAATATTTAAATTTGTATATCCAAGTAAATATATCATCCTTCTGATCTGGAGGGGGAGTACTTGTCAGGGTCCCACCCTGGGTTGCAGTAAGTTAGTCTTTTACCAAACAAAATTTAAAAAAATAAATAAATAAAAACATAAACCGATACAGTTCGCCCTCCAATTCGAGACCACCTTTGGGAGCTGAAATATTGGAGTGGTCTCGCTTTTTGTTTAAAGGTTAAAGATAGTTATTTGGTTCTCAAATTAGAGGGGGTCTCAGAATTAAAGGGGTCTCAAATTGCAGGGTGCGCTGTATAACAATTAACTGAATACATTTATAAAGCATAATGGTAAATCCTTGATCTCGAGTAAACACCAGCAGTGAATTTGTCAAGGGATCATGTAAATGTCGAACATGTGTCTGCTGAGGAAGACGGTTACTACAATAGTAACTTGCTGTATTAATTTTAATTTGATATTGAAATTTTAAAAATTATTTCTTTTAGAATGTATTAATTCAGATTGGCCTGTCTGTGGTATCTGTAGATGGCATGTTGATTAAGAAGGCCAAGAGTTACGCTCTCAGATGTTACTCCTGTTTCAAGTAAGTCACAAACTAAAAACAAAAATATTAACCCAGTGGTCCCAAGCTTGGGAGAAGTTACTTCTGGGCAAGAGATCTTGTTAAATGAGTTTTCTTAATGCATTAATTTCATCTTGCTGACACTGGCTTCCATGAAACACTTGATAATATATTAGTAAAATCTCATGCAAATACTATCCAGATTCCCAAGACTCATGCATCTTGTGGGAGACTTTGGATCCCTGTAAACCAATAAAATCATGCAATTATAACCTGACTCTACTTCCGACATTTGTAATCATTCTTTTGTAGGATAACCAGTAACAATAGCAAAGTGTTTTGTCCTAAATGTGGCAATAAAACTCTAACAAAAGTGACAGTGACTGTTGATGAAGATGGCACCCAACGCTATCACCTGTCATCCAGGAGGGCCATCAATAAACGAGGATTAAAGGTACAGTCACAATATAAAATAAACCAAAGTTGACGCATTTATCATGAAATATTTGTACAGTACTAATTTTTGTATTTATATTCCTAGTATCCACTTCCACTACCAAAAGGTGGAAAACATGCAGTCAATCCGGTGCTAGTAGAAGACCAGCCAATTCCTCAGAACAGACCAGCTAAAAAGACGTTGGCAAAAATCAACGCGTTTGATCCGGATTACGTGGCAAGAGGGTCACCGTTCGCCATTAATGACGTTACAAGTCGGGCAGCTCAGCTGGGTGTGCATAGTTCCAGAGGCAGTTCATCGAGACGGCGTAACCCAAATGAATCGGGACATAGAAAAGGTCGCAAGAAGTAATGATTAAACCATATTTTGGAAATTACAGTAGTGATATTTTAAATCCATATTTAGGATTATTTTATCAAAAATGTCTTTAAATTTTTGTCATCTAATTTGTGTACAATACAGTACTACATACTATTTATGTAGTTATTTAATAATAAATCTTATGCCATTATTATTTTTATCGTGTTGATTAAATAACATCATCAATGTCAAGTGTACTCTTTATTACTGTATATTTATGTTATGATAGTGTGATGTCTGTGACGTAGTACTCTACGGTATTAATAATGTATTCAGCACGTGGTGCACCCTTAACTGGACATTTCTGAAGCAAAAAAATTACCTCACAACACCTTACATCAAGTCCTCAATCTCCCTCACCCCATTGTAATACTCCCAGAGGATCTTTCAATGGTTGTAATATATGTTCCTATGAACAATAATAGCCAAGTGTCTTCTACATCCACACTTCCCAAACAACTGGGTTGCCAAACTATTGCGTTGGGTTGCGAGTAGTTTTCAACTTATGTGCAGTTTAACAGGTCTGACAACTTAAAAACAGTATATTTAGGTGGATCATTTATATCCTTACAATGAATAATTTTTCGGTTGCCATTTACAACATAACTTTGTAAATCTAAGCTTTCAACTATTTAAAAATTATTTATAGAAATACTGTAAACTTATAACAGAAAATTACTGTCAGGTGACCAAAAAATAACATTATCCAAATGAATTGCAAATGCAAACAACAGGCCTAATATACTGTACCAAAAAGGCCCATGTCATGCATTTTGGTTGATAAGATTATACAGTAGTCAAATGACATGTCCAGGAGTGACGCTTGGGGTGCTGGAGCACCCTCTTTCAGAGGTTGAAAAAAAAAAATTAAAAAGTGCTCCTTTTTAAATGTTAAAAAATAATGGCCAAGAAAGTATTAAAGTACCATTTTCCAGCAGCATCTAGAAGTCCTCAATGTCAAAACTTTTCTCACCTTAGCTTCAACCATGGGGCTAAGGTTGATATAGTGATTTTCGTTTACTATGACATTTAATATTAAATGGGTCGTGACCTGTTTGGGGAATCGCAAATTGGGGCCCAGAGAAAAAAGTTTGGGGGTTCTACATGAAGGGCAGCTTTTGAAGCAAGTTATACAAATGTTTATGAACGGTTACAAGATCAGCCGGAAACACTGGTATAAAATATCAGGCAAAACATTTAATATACTCAACCGACGAGACATGATTGTTACAATAACGAACCACAAATTATATATAACTTGGTGTCACAAAAATGAAGAGTTCCTAGCATTCAGTACATCAGGGAGAGATATACAAATATCTGACAAATTAATTTTCTAAATCACTATATATTGACGAATTAAAATCAACAAAATAAAAAAAAGACATTAAGCTTTTATTATTAAAAGGTGGACATAATTAAAAGAGTAATCTAGGTGTAGGCATTGTATTACTGTATTTTTTTTTTAACTTTTAAATATTTTATACTCAACATAATTATACATATGTAAAATTGTCTTATTTACAAGGTATTAAGGGGAATTCTCATCGCATGTTTTTGTTTTCAAGAACATAGCTCACTGCAAGAATTCCTGCACTTTATTACTATAGTAACAGCAGTGTTAAATTTAAAAATCATGTGTATAAAACAAAATTGACCATATTTTCATCTCAAAATTCAATAACAAAACCTAAAGCTCCTGAAAATGTATCAATATTGATCCAATTTATGTACAATGGTCTTGAATGCATTTTATCTTTGACTAGTCACCAAGAGTTGGTTTGAATTAATTGATTGAGGGAAAATAGTATGATAGTTTGCGAGGGGCACGTATGCTGCATTGATCATCTTACCTGCAAAAAAAAAAAGAAAAAAAGAATATCAATTTAAATACAGTACATCTGTAAACAACTTATCTATCATGGAATGACACAAGCAAATGAGAACGACCTTACCCCTTCCCCTAGCATCAAACATGTAATGGATTATTACATCCACAGTATTAAATAATAATATCTTAATATAAGAAACATGCTGTACAGGGGCGTAGGCTGGTTTAGGCTGGGAGAAGGGGTACGAAAATTAAGAAAGCGGAAATATATTCCAATTCCAATTAAAACATAATGGACATTTTTATTATTTTGAACCACTTAGTGGAACTAATTTGCCACCATGGGGGCTGTGTCCGTACCCCAAGCCTACACCCTTGCTTTACAACTATTACATTAACAATTATGAAATATCAATTTTTATCGTTAGAAAGCTCATGTTTTCATTTTCAACATGCATTAGGAATTGATGACTTAAAGGATGACTGCTGCTTATAATGCATATTACTATCACAGGAGGAAAAAAAATGTCCATAATCTTACCAGCAAACCATCTGCCATGTAGAGCATTGACAGCAGCCTGTGCGGTCGTGGCTGTAGGACACTTGACGTACACCATACCTTGAGGAGAGCCTTTATCAACGTACACATGCGTACAACCACCATGCTTGTTGCACTCCTCAATCACGTCATCACGGATATCAACATCCCAGTTAGCACCAGATTCACTAATATGTTTAAAATATCAATAAATTAATATATCAACGGACAAACGAAATAACATTATTTGAATGGCAGACTAGAGAAACATTGGAAAGAAAATCGATATGGGGTCTTAAAAGGCTTAAACCTATAAATTAATCCCATCAATCTTAAGTGTAAGTGTAGTGTAAGTCAATGCGAGTAAATTCATATGGATGTATATACAATAACATGATGCAAAAAATGGAAATAAGAAAGGGTAGATACAGAAAATGGTTGATTTATAATGTGCTGCACATGCAGTGTTCCAAATTTTTTATTGATCATCTGATATTTTTATGGCTTGATGTAAACAAATTCAGTCCTGTGTTTATTAGTACATATGCCAGGCCTATAAACACATGGATATTCAATTCTAACAAGGATGGAATTCTGCATGATTTTCTAGGTGTTTCTAGGTACCTCATGTGAGTAAAAAATAAAATGCAGCCGATGCATTTGTACTTACGTATTTGGATCAAACATATTAGACAGCATAAAGGATGGCGTGATAGATGGAGTAGCAGGAGAAGCTTGTTGACTGATTGCCGCTGCATGTTGTTGTGCTTGGGCCTGTGCGGCAGCTAAGGAGGCTTGCAAGTTGACTTGGGTAGGTGCAGCCCCCGGAACGGCTTGCTGCTGCCCTGGCAGTTGTGGTAGTCCTGATCCTGGCATCTGGGCTAGTGGATTGAGAGCGGCTGCTGCTGCGGTTGGGATCTGAAATCCAGTGCCTGTGGACAAAATTATTTCAATGATTATTTTAACACATTGGCTGCTGTTGCCCATATGCCAAGGCATAGAGGGCGCCATCATAATGAGCATTATTCTTATCAACTGTAATGAAACACAAAAAATGTATAGTATTAATTCAGATCTTTGTTTCCAGATTCATCTAATTTTGCTTAGTAATGGGTCTTATAAGCATTAATTCTACAATACCAACCTTCTGCTAATTTCGCCATGAGTTGCAAGCGTCCAGTTGTGGTCATTTCAATTCCAGTCCTTTCAAGCTCATCATTGTCCAGGAACGATGATGCAGTCTGACCATCAGTTCTCTCGGTCACATGTCCGACTTTCATCGGTCTGCCTGCCAGTTCAAAGCCATTCAACTGTTCAAGCGCTTTCTTCGCATCCTCAGAATCGTGAAACTATTTGAAAAAAATGCAAATGAAGGGATTTTAACAATAATGAATAATCTAATCCGGCAATCATAGATACATAGTACACTCATATATAAAATGAAGGCAAATGAACTGATGATAACCAAAAAATCATGGCAAAGTAAAAAACTGAACTTACTGTTATAAATCCATATCCCTTGGAACGACCAGTTTCCGTGTCCATTATCAGTTGGATGTTATCAATCTGCAAAATATACAACATAATTAAATTATATGCCACAAAAAATTACATCAATTAAATGTAAATGCCATTTGATGAGAAGTAATTTTGCTGTCACTGTAAAAAAAAATCTGTTGACATGTTTGTCCATTCTTTAAGTGTCAGCCATTGGGGAGATGTACAAAAAAAAAGGCATTATATATTACTATAATTTATCGCTTAGTATCAATAATGCTGCTTACCTTTCCAAAAGGCTCAAATATGCCCCTCAGCATGTCCTCAGTGATGTTAAAATGTAGCGAGCCCACGTACAGCCTCATGGGGCCAGTGCTGCCCTTCTGAAGGGTCAAGTTACTGTTAGCGGCTCTGTTCTTTTCAGCTTGAGAAACCTGCACAATGATCGGCACTCCCAACAGTTTTTGGTTGTTCAGTCCAATTGCCTACAAAATTTTAAATATTATTAATCAAATTATATTTCATTTATTTCAAACCAATCTTAAACAATGCATCCTTCACCACTTACAAGTTGGTTAAAAGGACCTGAAAAATTGAGATTGGTTTCAATAAAATCCCTACGCTATCGCTAATAACTGTTGACAACACTTGCTAGCTACTTATAAAAACAGTTAATAGTAACTATCAAGGATCAGGCTTTGAAAATCTCAAAAGTCAAAAACTGCTTCCATTAGGCCCTAGGCTGGCCATACCTCAGAGGGCTACACATCTTCTAGGCTGTTTTCATAGGAATTGAACCCAGGACCTGAGATTAGAAAGCAAGCTATAAAACTCCACCCCAAATGACCACTTACCAAAGGCACGGACATCTCTTCCTTGAATTCCACATATGCCACCCCTTTTGATCTCCTTGAGTTACGGTCCGATATTATCCTAACATCTCTCACCTACAAGAAAGAAGAAAAAATTTAGTTATTGAACAAATACCATACGCAGAAACAATTCAGACTTAAGAAATAATCATTTAATTGGATAAGGAGATAATATTATAGAAGAAACTCAAGATAAAGGACTTCTTGTGTTAAAAATACCAATCAGGGTCCTTGGTAGCATTCTTTTTAAACCAGACCTTTAAACTCGGGGCAAAGATATGTTGTCTCAATATGTTTTTGCTAGACTTTGATGTCTATTCAAAAGAATATATTAGTAAATAAATATTTATGTCTCTTGAAGTGAAAGGTTTTTTATCCATACCTCACCAACCGCCGAAAAAAATTCCTCCAAGTCGCGTGGTCTAATTCTAGCAGACAGCTGCATGCAGAATACTGTCCGTGCATCTCGCTGTTCTGGTGTTAATTCAGGTGATTTTGCTCTGCAAGGGAAATAATTTGAATTAAGATCTTTAACCATCAGTTTCCTTTAATATATCATCTTTACTGTCATGCAGTTTATTCATCTGGCTTTTGAACTAGTTTTCAATGAAGCATAAAATAAAGGTCATAAATAACACATATTTGTTTGAGTGGCTAAGACATATGAAATTTATATTTTATAAAAGCAGATATTGTAATTTGTGTGAAGTTTAAACTCAAAAATTTATTTAAATTATATAACAAAATTATAATTTAATTTTTATATTAGTCTTTTCAAATTCTTTCTATTTCTTTTTGAGCAGGACGTACATATATACACACACACACACACACAAACATAAACATTATAATTATTATTGATACTATAATGAATAAATTTCATTTGGTTTGGAACTTGTATGTTGGAATTTTAAATTATTGATGTATTCTTGTTAATTGTTAATTTTAAAAACATTTTTAAAAAGTTTTCACCTTGGTTCTACTTCCTTGACACGTTCCTTTGAAACACTGCGCCTTTCCTTTCGTTCACGTCTTTCAGGTCTATAACTCTCCCTTTCACGCTCCCTGCCTCTATCCCTTTCAAAGGGTCTGCTTCGTTCTGGCTCTCCTCGATCTCTTCTTGGCCTATCATAGTTATCAGCATCTCTTCTAGAGCGTTCCCTGCTTCTGCTTTGTCTACGTTCCCTACTCCTGCTTCGTCGATGTTCCCTACTTTTGCTTCGTCTACGTTCCCTGCTCCTGCTTCGTCGATGCTCCCTGGTTTTTCTACTGAAAAAAGATCAATTAAATCGGTTACAAGAGGATATTGAGATAGAAAAAAAAAAAGCATATTTCCTAAGCTAATGCAAGTGACTAACACCAGCCTCTAATCGTTAAGCTGTAGAAATAAGTAGTTTGAAAAATGCATGTTTTTCCTTTCACGTTTTCTTAATGATTATATCTAATGTTCTGGTCTTTCTAGTCCACTTGTATTTTTTTTTAACGCATACTTGTATGGCCTGCAGTACTGAATGTTACATGTCATGTGAGTTAAGGACAAAATCAATGGCACTCACTTTCTGTCTCTGTCTCTGCTCTTGCTACGGTGCCTGAAATGAAAAAATATTGTGAAAACATTATTGTTATTTATCTTCCCCTAGCAGTAGGCAGCTGTTTACAGTAGCATAAGGGAAATAATCAATCTGGTGTTCCAGACAGCACAGCATAACCCTAATTAATCATACAAATTTCACTAGAGACTGAATTGAAACTCAAATAACATACAAGTACTTGTGAGACTATGGTTACGTAAGATAATGATTTAAATAATTTAGTTCTTTGGCAAGTTAGACCAATTGACTAGTTCTAATCTGTATGTTAGAAGTTTAATATAGCCTATCCTAGAGTAAAGACACAATTGTTTTTATAGTGGTGATGTGCTAAGAACAGAAATAATTTATTTTTATTGTTATGTGTCTAGCCCATTAGATAAAGAAAAATGTGTTCATTCAAGCAATCAACTGATCCCCAAATTTCACTAGCTAGTTTTGGTCAGTGGTACATTCATGACTTGGCAAAAACTGTACATCACATTAACCTATTTATTAGCAAACAATTAACCATGACTAGTGGATATGAGAGTTAGTACCTTAATTACCCAAACCATGACTATAGTAATTAACCCAGTCAGCAAACGGATATACATGACCTATTTGGTACTTGTACTCTAACTAAAAAAACAAGTGACCTAGAAGTGTAAATTAAAAATTTTTATCTTTCAAGCACCTCTGAATTAATGTACATACCAGGGTTTTCATGGACTTTTTTAAAAATAAAAATAAAAGATGAAACATTCATTTGGGGCTGCAGAAAGGTGGTCTTTAATTAGAGGGATACCTGAAATTGGTATTTTAACAATTTGAAATGTTTTCAAACATTGTCAGAATGGGATGCTAATGTTTGCAGACATTAGCACAAAATATTGAGATTTTTTCAAGCAGAGGATCTTCTACCTGCGACCTACTCAGACAGTGTGCGATCCAACCAATGAAAGTGCATTTTACTGTAAACAATTACTTAATATCTTACCGTTTCTCTCTGTCTCGACTCTTACTCCTACTTCTGGAGGCGTGCCTAAAAAAAAAGAAAATAATCAATATTAAAATTGTGTCCGAATGAGATGTATAAACAGTTGCAGTGTCAAACCAATAAATAGTAGAAATATCAGGTAGTTTTTGAAGGTAAAATTAGTTTTATGTGCTACATTTAATCTATATAGGTAGGAAACTAAGTGAAGTGTGCTGAGGGTCAAGGAAGAGGTTAAGATGGGGGTTACATCAATCATTGCATTTTGTTTTAAATGATATGTTTTAGCATCAGCCCGTTGGGGGGTAAACCTACCCCCTGAAACCTCTCACCTGCCACTGTCCATCAACACTGGAGCATGTTACCCACCTGACAGTACACGTTGATTGCTGCCGAATTGACGGCCACTTTATGACATCTTAATATAAGCCCACAGGCTGCCACCTAATTGACAGTTACATACATCATAATTAACTAGGTTCCATAACACCAACACATATAGTACACATAATTAACTTCGAGCCAACAATTAAATCATTCAATGTTATCAGTAAGCTGGAGATATGCAGCCGATGACCTACGTATTGCTAGGATGTCCTTATTATAGTGTATTCAGTACATTCCAAATAAGGATTTGTCTAAATATTAATGAGGATATTCACTGCATCACAGCAAGTCTCAGGAAACAGAGCATAGACATAGAATTAATATGTTTGATAATCAGTTTAATAATGAGTGTATTAATAATAAGTTTTCACTTTTTTAATGAATGTCAAGGAAATTACGCGCTTCATAAAAACTGTTGAAACATTTAGCATTTTACTGAGTGATAAATATTCCTAAATTTTACTTCCAAAAAATGGAGAAAATTGAACTTACCTCCTCCTGCTCGATTCCTCTTTCTTTACAAGACTTAACGAAGCTGCATCGCCCTAAGATGTCCAAAACAAACAGCAGAATGGTTGTCAAGGCAGGATCATAAACATGATCGTTTCACGGAGGAGAAAAAAAGGAAAAGAAAAAAACCACACAAAATGTCAATCTCAATGCTTACTGCCATCCCCTACTTAAAGTAGCTCACCTTCTCTTATAAAATGATGCAAATGTGTAATAAATTACTGGAAAGTGTTACTGTGTATCTTGAAAGCTGAGGAAAACAATGTGTACATCCTGAATGAAAATTGGTGAAAACACTCAATGTAAACAGGGGCGGATGCAGATAAAAACTGGGTAGGGCTGTGGCGAATATAGGGGGATACATGGGGGAGGATCAAACAAAAGCTTGTCCCTAGTCTCGTGACCTTCTCCACTCAAGCAGTTTAAAAATCACCCTAATTTGCATCCTAGCACCCCCTCACTTAATCATTCAGCCCCATCAGCTCCCCTATTTCAAGACTCCTATATACGCCACTGGGGTATAGCCCCTGAGATCCGCCCCTGGTAAGTAGGAATACTACAATTACTTTGAAAATACATTACTCACTCCAAACACTTGCTCATTAAATACTGACTATTACAAATAGGCTACAGTAACATCAAAGTAGTAGGTAAAAAACACAACTGTTCCCTCCACTGAAACATAGTTATCTAGATCCTGTTAGAAAGGGATATCTTGCCATTTCTCTAAATTATTACTGTCACTACTTGCAAAACAAATGATGAAAACATTTCAGCGTTATCACTTTACTTGCAAGGAATGCTGTAGGACATGTCATGTTAATTCCAAATGGCATACTGTACATGTCTTTTACATTGGCAGATTTCCATGCAACTTCTTCAGACAACAGTTTCCGGTTTAGTTTCCTAACAGTTCCTAATTCATCAACGCGAGACCATGTGACCCTGTTTAACCTCCCTCAAAAAACCCCTGCCCTGCCCCACAAATTTAAGACTCGAGTAGTTGTGAGGTTCAGCCGGATGTTAAGAAAACAGAAAAGCTGGTCCAAGCACCTTCTTCAATCCTCCGTTGCTTGCAATTGTCTCAAAGATCAACCCTACAGCAAGAGGGGAGTGGATAACTTTTAGTGAAAATCTTTAATATTAAACGTTGGTACAATTTTAACAGCAAATTATGCAACTTTATTGCAATGTTTAGGAGTATCTATATTTAGTCCATGCCAGCAAAAAATGAGTCTTTATGTTATGAAAATAACATTTATCCATCATGATACAATATGTTTTTTGTTTATTTTGTATCACATGATACAAGAACTTAAGGTAAACAGATGGTCCACAATAAATCTGTGTTTAAAAATGAATAATTATTTAAATGAACAGATTTATGTTGAACTGGGAATGCTAGTACGGTATTTTCAATTCTCTTCTGAATGTATGCAAGTTGTAGGAATCGGTTCACTGTTAATTTTCTGGTCAGCTAAAAATATATTTATTACTATATTACATATTTATTCCATGCCAGAACAAAATTAATTTTTGTTCAGAATTTTTGTTCAGGAAAATAACCTTTTTTTCATATGATGTGGTTGTTTGGAATATAAAATTTCTTTAGTGTATTATGAATAAATGTTTTATCAGATCATAAGACTAATAAATGACTCAAAATAAGTCTGTGCTTTAAAATAGTGAGAAACTGTTGGAATGAATATATTTGTGTTGACCTGAGAATGCTAACTGAAGAATTGTGATGATGGTGGTGATTTCAAATTTCTTTTGAATGTATGCAAGTTGTAGAAATTGGTTTCACTGTTAACCTTCTTGTCGGTTAAGAAACATGTCCAATGTTCAGCAGGACTAACAGAATGTAGGAGCAGAGAGCCGAGGTTAGTACCTCTTCATGCCAGCTACAGTTATCACCAATGTGGGTCTACAAGAAATGAAATTGGCAAAAATATCAATAAATGGCTCTGCGGATACTCAGCAGAAATGAACATACATTCCTGCTTATACTGTACATGTAAGCTAAGAATGACCTATATCGTCAGACAGTATGCTATGCACTACAAAATTATGAGCATTAACATACTTAGCTGTATTAAAGTGGGTTCAAAATTTTGTAGATATCACACTACAAAAAAGCTAACTTATAATAAATGGTCTTCAAGCATATCATTTCTTATGTAGACTACCAAGGAAATTATTATAAAAAGACTGCTAGTACTGTATGAAGTAATTGGAATAACCTTTGAAAATACTAATTTTTACCTTATTACAGTACAAACAATACCAATGGAATGAAAATTTGCTATTTTCATCGATCCTAGATCACTGGCTCATAAATTACCATTAATTTATTATGACCTCAATATTATTTATTATAATTTTCTTGTCCATAATTCTTTTCATTTGGATAATAATATAATCACTGAAATGATTTGCTCTATTATTAGTACAAAAAAAAAATCATTAATCATAGGACAGTGTTTCTAGTTCATTATTGTAAAATGCACTGAGGTCAATATGATGCACTATATAAATACATGATTAATATTATCATCATTATATCTTTCATTTGACGATACACATACAAACCACTGATAAAGACGCTTTTCCATTAAATATTCGTCTCGCTCCTACAATAAATTTCAAAAAAAAAAATTAATTTGATATACCTATTATATCAATAAAATTCCATATAAATTAACTACTTTTTGTTTACTGTTTTAGCTAAATGTTGTGACCAGCAGATTAAACAAACCATCCCTTTGGTGTTGAATTCTCCCTCTGCCGTTGTTGTACTGTTGACAGGATCCTATCCAATGATTAAACAAAACCCGCAATTTTTGTCAGAGCCACATTTCACAATAAAAATAATAAATGAATCTGTGTCCAAACAAAAGTATTTAATATCCTACAAGAATATTTTTGTCAAATTAATACACTACTAAATGTTTTGTGTTTCCAGTAAACATGAAAAGTTTTTCATTCGCAAAACCAATAAGTTGATATGAATTATATTTAATATAAAATTTATATGAATTACTTAATTCAGTGATTAGAAAAATACATTTTTTTAATGAAAATAATATTATGGTGCAGTAAAACACTGGCTAACTTACTATATCACCACTGTTCTTCAGACACTGTACACTTACTCTTCCATGGATAGACAGATGGAAGGATATATTATATATTTTCAAAATTACAAACTAACATTCAAATCATTGAAATACTGATGTTTGTGCATCTTTTTTGGCTATATTGAGGTTCTTTATTCATATTAATTTATTACTTCATTTGTGAAGTATACTTAGGAAGCTACAGTATTCTTTTGTTCATAAATGAAGTAATCTGCAATATTGTAAATTAATTCATAGTTCTTAAATCTATTACAATAGCATCTCATTAGTAACCTGACATTTAATTCCTTTTGAAATAACTAAAGTATGTTTAAATCTGCTTAGTCTGTATCAAGTTGATGACAATGCAGAAAAAGCCGTCTAAAACACAAACACAACACACCACAATTAACTTACATTTTTCTTGTATGGAGCTTCCAGCATAGCTTCAACATCAATGTCTTCTGCCATTTTGATTGAATTTGACAACTGCAGAGTAATAAAAATTTGATACTTAAGAAGAATAATAATATAACATAATTTAATATATCATTAGAAACATACTGTAATCCTGAATGTTAGTAGTACAGTAGTTCTAGCCTAGGTGAGACTTTTTTTATTCCTTGTTTCACAAACTTATTCTTTTAAAGATCGCCGGAGGCAGGCGAAAAAAAAAATTAATAAAATTTTGTTTTTTTCTTTAGCAAATAGTTTTGCCAAAAACATTCCGACGGATGAGAAAATAAAAATAAAATTTTATTGTTAAATGCAATCAGTGTAGGTAGTAATGGGATGATTTAAAAATATAGAAAGAAATATACATATCTTATTTTTGGAGACTTCAAGGGAGCGATGGGCGTAATATAAATAAAGAAAAACTTTCATTTACTTTTTTCTGAAATTTCAGGTTTCTCATGGTGGCAGCAATTGGTCAAATATTTTTATTTTTATTCAAAATCATCAACATTGGAGGGCAGCGGGTTCGTGAAACAAGATATAAAAAAAGCCAGGGGAGCTTGCATACCAACCGAAAAGGAGGGTGCCACAACCACTTCAAGACATGAGACAACTATTTTACTGAAAAGTCTTATGGACTTGAACTACCATTTACCAAAATTGCACTTTGCTCTCAAAAACGACGGGGAAAAGGCCAGTCAATAGTGCCAGAGAGTGAGCCCCCCGGGAAAAAAAGTCTCGCCCTCGCTAGGTTGTGTGGTTACATAGTACTGTATATAGGATACAGTAAGCCTAATATTTTGCAAATTTGTTTTAAAAAATTTTAAAACTGAAAAAATATTAATTAAAGCCTAGGCCTACACACCTTTGAAAAGCTGGCTCTGGAGGAAAAGTATTTTTTACTCTTAGGCCTAGTAATCAATATTAAAGAAGAGATTTTACAAATTTCACACTCTGCTCCGAATTTACTAAAATTAATTTTCAATTTGCCAAAATTTTATTTCAAAAATAGGCAGATCAGGTGCGATCCATGGACCGCGGGTAGGCCTAGCTTCTAGTAGGCCTAGGCTAGCCGAGGTCGAATATCTTTGTTTTAACCCTAAGCATAACTCATTGCAAAAGATATTCGAACTCCGCTGTGCACCCGCGGTCCATGCATCGCCCCTGATCCGACTATTTTACAAAAATTTAGTAACGGAGGCCTAGGCCTGGCCTAGGCAATCATACGTAGTGAACCAGATGCCAAGTAAAGACAACGCATGTTCGACTCCATTGTGTGTTTCGTTTTTGGAATGGAAGGAAACCATTTTTGTGCAACAGATTAACACCAGAATCACCAACTAACACTAGCTAACTAACACAAATATAAACATGAATCACTCCACAAACAATTCTCAACCTAATGTTTTAAATATCAATTCTGTTTCGAGCCAAAAAATACTATATTTACCGATGTATAATTTGTACTATTTTCGATTTCCTCGATCAATTAATTAGCTAGCCGTCTCTGCGTCCGTCGATCGTTTGCGATGTATGATGACGTCACGGTTAATCAAAATCATTGGTTGCCGAAATATCACTTAAATTTTTGCCTAATTATATTTTTGGTTAAGCAATCGTGTCCTATGTTAAAAAAAATATTGGTATTAAATCGTTGATAAAACTTGTGTAGCAATAATAATCATAATTTCAGAATAGTATTTATTATAATATTATTAATGATGTTATAATTCTAGACACATTCTTAATCAAAAAGCAGTATTTAATAATACTCAGAATAGAGTACAGTAGTACTTTAAATTGCTTATGTTGATTATGTTTTGAAATTAGTGCATTAAAAATGTTTGTCTAATTGTTATGTTACATAAATCAACCTATAATGTAGGTTATTTAATTACTTTATACATTTTGCAAAGTATATGAATGAATGAATAGATTTGTGCTTCATATGATGTTAACTGGTGAAGATAAGCCTCATAGTATCCATTGCCTTCACCCCCAATTTTTTCAAAAGTAAAAAAAAATGGAGTAGAAAGTGTGAGAGTGTCATTTCCAGTCATCTAGAGATGCCATAACCACACAATTTTCTTTTTTTGGGATGCTTCTCCATCTATGAAAATTCTCCGTGGGCCCCTCTATTACTAATTCCTGAATCTAGATCAAATCACACAATGACAGTTCGTTCCCCACTGTCTTCATCTTTCACAACTTTAATGTTAAATTTTCCATGCTGGCTGGGTGCAAGTGTGACAGACAGGTAGGTACACACTTTGGCAGTCTTCCTCTGCAATCTGGCTATGGCCCGTGCATTACAATTTCTTTTTATTCCGCCAATCACAGGTATTTTAATTCAAAACCAAAATACAGGTGTCTAAATCTAGTCACAGATAAATTAACAGGAGATAGAGGTCAGTAATTAGAATTCTGAAGATAGGTCAACAATAGAGTTATTTTTAATAAGTATTATAATATTGCCATGATGGTAACTATGCGAGTCAATACACTTGATCATCACAGTTAATCTTAACTTTATTTATTTATTGTAATCAAAAAATTTAAAAAAAAATTTCTGATCATTGATACCAAAGAAAGGGGAAAAATAAAACGATGGGTCACAGGTGTCTGTAGTCTCCTGCGAGTTTCAGGAGTCTTCGGGAAATTGGGAAGGCCTCCAGCCCTCCTGCAAGCAAGTAAAAATCTCTTGGCATCTCCAATAAATTCAGGATATTTGCATGGTTATTACTGGTATCACCATGTATTCGAGAAGATCAATTGCACCACCATTATAGACGAGCGCGCCAATTGAACCAGTGCCAATATTATGGCTATAGGTTGCAACGCTCCTGCCTAAACCACTTGGCCATTTGACTAGCCATAAAGAACAGTAGTCAGAGGAATGAATGATTCAATTAAGAGATTTGCTCAAATTGCCAACTTATATAATTTATTATTTTGTTTTGCACTAATTTATATTTATTGCTTTTCATTCAATAAAATGAATTATAATGAATGGGTTCTGTGTACTTTGACAATAAATTTTGTGTTATGGTAATCAATAATGGATGTAGTTAACATCTCTTGACAGCAGAACAAGAGTGATCGCTTACTGGTCCACGCGTTCCTTCACGCTATTAAGATAGAAATTTTTAAATAATTAGAAAGTTCATATGTACAAAAAAAATTATTATTTAGAATGTTAATTTCTACAAAATTAAAATATATTAAAATTGAAAAAAATAAAATTTCTTAAAATTGGAAAAAAAATTGAATACCAAGACGCGATTCGAACTCACAACCTTAAGTTCTTTAGAACACATCCTTAACCAACCGCGCCATCCAAGCAACGTGCCCTATTAGTGGTAATGGCAGTAATGTAGTCCTTGCTGAAACCCCTGTTTTGATTTGTAAGTATAGGGGAACCCTGGGGTCTAACTTAAAAAATGGCGATGAACGTTTGTTGGAAATCACCTCTAGTTTTATGTGTACAAAATTTCCTGCACGTCTGTTCAGAACTGGCGACGCTTTTAAGTTTTGGTAACAAGAACAAGAACAAGAATAGCAATGAGGCCCTGTGGTCCGATGTTAATAATTTTTCTCTTTCCACATGCAGCCTCACTTTCCTATTTTCAAAAATGTTGAATGATGCCACAACGAGAGGAAGTCTGACTGCAATTCACAATGGGATGATACACTTGAGGGGCAAGGACAATTATGGCATAAGCTTTTAAGGAAAAGACACTCCTCTCTCCAGATATACCTCACTGATAAAAAACTTTTGTAGCAGCTTGTCTACTGTATACTGTCTTCAGTCAATAGTTAATGATTTGAATGTCGGGGGCTTAAGCTGGTTTTGATCTGCGGGATGCGAAACTGCCTGGGGGAGGGGGGTTTGTAAAATTTTAGAATGAACTAAATCCCCATACCAATGAAAAAACTTAATGGTCAATTTTAGTTGTTTATTAGTGGAACCAATTTTGCTGTCACCCTCCACACAACCAGCCTAAGCCCATGAATTTCCATCATATACAACAGTAAAAACAAACACATATTTTTTGATATTATTTTATTTTTTAAGTACACTGTACAAGGATTAAAGTCAAATATATTCATTCACAAAATACAACATTTGTCTAGTTTGGTAAACTAGGCATAAAACACATTTGTCTTACATCTATTGACAAAACCAAGCTTATAATGTAAAGACACAACACAATAAATGTCCGTCTTGGTGGAGTCATTATTGTCCAAATCAGAAAAATCAACAACACAGTGAAATAACATAAGCTAACAAAATACATACTGTATTACTTAAAATATTTATCTGAACGTGTGCACATTTGCATTAAATATTAAATTTCAAGACTTGCTTTCCATTTGTCTGTCTGGAAATCACAACTTAAAATTAAATAAATAATACACAGTGTTTTGTTAGGAATAAGTTTCGAAGGTCAAGTTTGTACACTGCAGTGGTTTTACCTTAATTAGATACTTGTGGTATTATTACGTGTATTCATATTATATACAGTTTTCTTCATCAGGCCAAGTAAAAAAGAAGATTAGTTTCTCATCTGAACGTTTTTGAAAAAGGGACAGAAGACGCTTTTTGCCAAAGTGGTCTAGGGCGAGATACTAATTTTTTTTTTTATTTGCCTTTTGACGCCACTATTCACAATATATGACTAACATGTGGCGGCTATTTTAAACAAAATGAGTCATGTTGCACTTTTTCTCTAATTGAGACAATAGCAAAAATGAATTAAGACAAAAATGTGTTATAATTTTATAAACTATTAATATGTACTGGTATTAGCCACATTCTGTGTTCGTTAAAACATGATATTTGAAGCTTTTAAATACTATACCCCAATCATGCCGTCATTTCATATTTCTATATGCTGATGTTTTTAAGGTCATATCTTCTAAAATATCATTTAAATATCCAAATAAAAGTATAAATTATGTACTAAATTATATTGGAAATGTAACATTGTTGGTCCCTAGTACAACAAGACTCATTTTGTAAGAGACACAGGTAGGGAGGGGGAAGTGTAGGGGAAGGGGGTCACACATACTAAATGCATTCACTCACCCAATACATATTAATCAATCAATCAATACTTATCAATAAATATTTCAATTATTCTAATCGGCACAAAATTTATCACACATTACATACAAACATTTTCAGTTTTTTTTAACTCACCTTTCTCTGATATGGTATATTTACATAAGTAGGGCTACACATTAAAGACAATCTGTGGTTCATCCCGAAAAAAATCTTTTAAAAATTCAATTAAAATATTGAAATACTTATTAAGAGGATCAAATAAGTTAATAATGTCCAATGACACGCCAATCAGAACAATTCAGGTTTTTTTTGTCGTTTATAGACATCTTACAAGGAAGAAAATTTAAGCTAAGCTTACATTGCCCTTGCGGCTCGACTCAATTGACCTTTGGCAACTGGCCGACAAATGCACTCGCGTCTGTTTACAGCGAAGCAACTGACAAGCAATTGCACTGGTCATGTGACAGTAGTAACCAGTAGGTCTAACTCTCGCTGTTAACTGTGCAAGCTGCACGCACTAACAACGTACTGTATCTAATTATGATAGCATTGGATGGCAACTAGTTGTAAGCACAGTCAGCAACTAGACGCTTACAATTCTGCATATGCATATTTGCAGAGTCATGGGTGGAAGTCAATTGAATACTACCTCCAAAAAGTTGAGTCTATTAGCAAGGGCAACATAAGTACAGTACCAGCTAATTTACAAGCCAATGCGAAGAATATAGGAATGATATTAATTTAAGGAAAATATTATATCAATTTAATTTTTGACCGAAAGGTAATATTTACTTAAACATACAACATAAGTAATTCAAATATTTTTAGTTAATGACAGTATATACTTAATGAAATATAACTATTACTATTGACCTCTGCTCCAGAGCTCATTATGTGTAAATTTGTTGAAACAGTCTTCAATTACACCCACCCAGTTCAACATCTATCAATTCACCCAACAGCAAAAAATATACAGTAACCATTTGTAAAGTACAGTAGAAGTATTGACATAACACCCTGAGTAGGCAGAAATGGAAGTGTTGTTAGTCACTGCAAGAATATCCATAGAATAGATCCAATCAAATCAGTATGTTATTTCTATAATACTGTATTAATGTTGTATTTACCCAGACCACACCAAAGATTGGATCCAACTATTATGTCAATTTTACATATCTATTGTATCAAGCAGGGCCATATCTTAGAATGGATCCACTGAATGTATATGTTAGTATATCAAATGTTGTACTGTAATATACTCGACCATAACCTAGAATAGATCATAGAAAGGATCCTATAACATCACACAGTAGGCACACAACAATCAGGTATGTCTAGATATAAACAAGGCTACATTCTGCTATGCTTGCACACATTACACCCAATCACAGGACAGAAATCTAAGGATGTTTGGCAAGCATAGAATGAATGGACAATCATCAAAGCGATGTCGTCATTATGCACGACAGCCATTTCTAATACTGATAATTCTTCAAGTACCAAGATAGTACATAGTGAAAACCGACGGCCAATAAATTCGTACGTCAGGCAGGTTGATAATGTCAACAATTGGGATACTGTATATGCCAAACTGTCAGTTCATGGGTAAATACAACCTACTGAAAAAACACCCACAAGTGAAACAGTAAAACTAGTGCACACGTTTTACCATTTTAATAGACAGGAACATTACCTGGTTGACAAAAAATGATTATAACATTCAGGAAAGAGTCATTTTTCTTTCTCACTCACTATTCAAACCACAAGATAACTGACAACTGATAACGTTAATGGCAGTCTTTGGTGGTATAGGGATCAATACGTTACGTTAAGAAAGCTTAGTGCAAGATATTTAATTGACACCATGAGGGGTATTGAGGTAATGCACCAACATCAACATATACAAATTCTACACATCTAATTTCATTTCACTCAACATGAAAGACTTTTTTATCCACGACACACCCCTGGAGAACAAACAAAGTTCACTGGTAACCAATGACAACAGTACCAAATGTATAAATAGAATCTAGAAGTCACCGAATAATGGGATTTTATCACAGCAAAGATTTTAGAGTGACTAATGAAAATTATGGTTTTATATATTTAAGTATTTTCTACAGTAAACTATTCATTTCATTTTTACAGTGCTCAATAACAAGACAGTACATGAATACTGGGTCCGAACCAGACACTTTTGAATATGAAGCATGTTACATTAAGGAAGTACCATAAATGTTCCAAAAAGCGCCTCTTTTAATAAGCACTGCATTGAAGCCCAAAAATGTGCAACAGTGCATTGCTTATTGGAGCATTTATGGTAGTACACAGACATTTGTACTAACTTGGTCATTTTTTTAAAATCCTATGTCATACTATCAGTTAAAGTTGAATAAAAAAAAATATTTTTGAAACATTTTTGTTATACAGACATGTTTTTTTTCAACACAATACAGATATCATGAGGTCCTAACGCTGGGCACAATGTCTTAAACATTTGTACATATAAAATGATATAAAAAAATAAAGAAAGGATGTACCGATTCCAGCTTTAAACAATGTGTTGGTGGATAGTCATGCAATGTTAACCAAGGTTTTTCTTACATATTGCAAACTGTACCTGCATATATACAATATATTTTTTATCTATGTTTCTACATTTAGTATACACACAAATTCATGCAAATCTGACTTCACCATCAATTTGATTGGCAAGAAATGTATTTATATACAAGATAAAATAAAATTATTAAAACAATTCAAACACATTTATTATTATTAATTTCAGGTGAAGGATTCGTAAGTGTTATTTTCACTAAACTAAGGGCCACACTTTGCAATAATCTGTTAAAAATAAACATTATACGGTGTCCAAATTCATCATTGCCCCTTCAATAAGTTTAATTTCAAAATGCTTGACATACACTGAAAAATTGCAACAACAAAAATTTCCTTTTTCAGTGTAAAAATAAATTTAGAATTTTTTTCAGGTGGTTAAAACATATTTGAGACTTACAAAGACTATAATTAAATACCAAAGTAATACTCACCTAAAATACAAACCAAGAGAAATAACTATATAAATTAACATGGATTAATTTCAGAAAATTGATGTTGTTATTCGAGAGTGTACCACTTGAGGTAATTAATATATGAAAAATGTTTGAGAAAGCAAAATAACACTACAAGTGTAGATAGTTTATTTACTACGTAAAATACTGTTATTTGGATGCTACACCATACCACAAACAAGAATTGAAACAATTTATCATACTAACACTATAGTTGCAGGGACCAGTGGTACTATGATCGAGGTGGTTTCTTAAACTAAATTAGGAATGCTGGGGGTGATAGAGTATGCCTAATTAAAGTACAGATGACACAGATCCTGATTTAATATAAGGTTGCTAGGGGTGGGGGGGGGGAGGTCTCAGTTTGATACAGTACCACCTATATTAAAGTATGGGTGCTGAAGGCATCCACGCAAGACATCCAAAGCTAAGCCTGGTTTCAGTTGTATAGCTGTAGTGACTTCCTTCCAAAATCAGCACCCCCATTTCAAAATGTCTCCCAGCAGCGATAGCTTCAAGCACTTTAGAATAATCTGCAACAGTTACTCTCCACACGGGATGGTGTCTTGTTTGGCACAGGGCCTTCATCGTCTACATCATCAAAATTTCTAATCCTGTTTCTTTTTTTCTTGAAATCCAATTTCCATTGGTTTCCATTGCCATTTAGATCTATGTTCAATTTGTCAATGTAAAGTGTAGTGTCCCGTGAATTCTTTTCTATCTCCGAATCAGTCAGTGAGTTGTTCTTCTCAGATTCTGACGGAATTATGTACAGATTGCTGTCAGATTTGGTCATGCTATTTTTAGACCAGACCTTATGTAACTCTGTGGCTTGATCATCGGAATCGCTTGGTGTGGTATTATTAGGATCAATGGCGTATTTGCTTATACTGTAAGAGCTTGATGAATGCGATGAGTTTACACTTAGGTTGCTCTGCTTTAAGCTGTCTCTAAGTTCGTTGTTCCGCTTCTGCTCGTAATTTCCAGAGGCACTATTAGAATTATTACTACTATTGCTATCATTTTTATACCCCCCTCTAGTGCCACTGTTGTTAGCCTTCCCACCAGGCCCACTCATTCCTTGTTTACTGTTGTTACTACCACTGCCACTACCCCCACCGGGGGGTCCATCTTTGCTGCCTCTGCGTTTGCCACGGCTTGGGATATCAAACTTATCGGATCTTCGTCTTGTGTCAGAATCTTCATCACTTGCATCTGATGAACTATAGCCCCCTCGACTGGAGTTGTTTTTCTTCACTTTCGCTCGCTTGAATTGCGGTGCTTTGTTCTTCACAGTGATTGTCTGACGGCCATGAATGCTCCGTGAATTTGATAATTTTTCGTCTTTCAAATCTCCATATTCATCCTCAGATTCTCCTGCGAATGAAGCAAATTATTTTTTATTTTATAAAATAATCACTGACTGAAAGAACTTTACTCCAAATTTTTATGTAGTAAACAATAAAAAAAAAACATTAAAATATCTCATTGATTGAAAGCAAGTGGGTGTAATAGCAAAAATATCTTGTCTTGTTATTTTCCTGAAAACGTGACTGCTTGTTATTTTTAACAATTTTTTTCACATCACCCTTGAGTACATAATGGCTATAGTTAAACGGATTGTGTGTCAATTGCCATATACTGAATGTTAGATTGTTAGCCAACAGCGTTGCATCCAAAAATAACCTAAATTCAGTGCTACTGATGTAATAGAAAAGGGCAGAGATAAATATTGGCCCTGAAGGAGATTTTACCTTCAGACATACAACACTACAACACACAAAAGGTTAATGAGTATTGTAGCTTGTTACTTTAGCTGAAATCGGAATACTTGTACTGAGATTGGTTGAAATTTTGTGAATGTCTAGATATTTATTAATACCTCAATACAATACTACCCAATTAAAAAAAATTATATCTAATTTTTATTTATTATTACACTTTGAATTCATACTTATTTTATTTATAATACTATACATTGCAACTAAGCTTCATTCAAAGCCAGCACCTGATGATTGAGGTACCCCTCATGAATAGAGGGCTAATCCTCCAAATAATACCGTTTTTATGGGCTAGTAAATTTATGTGTTATGGGTGATCTGCACATACAACGAACATGATTCAAAAATTTTTAAAAATTGTATGTGTTGCGCATATAAAACCCCCGGTTTTTTCATTGTAGTTTCCTATTTTAAGTCTTGTCTTATTCACAAGAATATACGTTATTGTACACAATCCCAACACGCTATGTACTTTAGTATTACCGATCACTGAATCAAACAACCACTAAACATTATACTCAGCTCTCTAGGGGATAATACAATACCATTAGTCTGAGCATAAGCATTAAAACCTTCCAGCCTATAATTCTTTGTACTTCATTCAAAGAACCTTAAAAAAACTAATAGTTAATAGTTCACCACACCTAGGGCTGCACTATTTCCTATTATTGCCAGTGTTGTTGTTGATGCCTGTTGATTCTAATTAATTTTTCTTCATTAGCTGCTAATTCCAAGGCCCTGCTTCAACAGCTTGGATAAGCTTTTTAATATTAAACTGTATGGTAGATAATCTTAAATTTCATATGGTTTTTGTATTTATTGTGTTGATTTTGGCAGACAAAATAGGAAATATTATTTTCCTTGTTATGAGCAAGAATTAAAAAAAAAATAACAAGACAAATTATTTACAATCTTGAGAAATTTTAAGAGCATTTTTGGTTTTTGCATTTATATTGTTGATTTTGGTAGACAAAATAGGAAATATATTATTCTTGTTACAAATTATGAAATAAAAAAATACAGACAATTTTTTTTTATAATCTTGAGAAACTGTAAGAGCATATTTTGATATTATTACCTTCCTCTTCAGTGATTTGGTTTAAAGTGGTCGGGGTAGTACGTCGTTGTTGGAAGGTAGTGCGATTACTTGTATTAGTTTGTTTCCTACTTGCAGCCTTTGATCCACTAGGGGTACCAGTCAGATCCATATCTTCAAATAGAAGATGGTGTTCCTCCTCTTCTTCCTTAAAATACAAGCAAAATACTTTTACATCGGGGCATTGGTCCCATGTACATAATACATTAAGGTTATATGCATTAAAAAGAATTCTTTTACAGAAGAGTAGGGGATTGTCTCCCGACAATCAATTATATGATATATAATATAATATATATATTATTATATATTATAATATTATTTTATTATATGTCTATGTTGAGTTAAGCCCTGTTTTCACCGATAGCTTCTGGCGATGCTGATTAGTCATTAGAATGGAGGAGCCTTCCCGATATGCATAGGAAAGACCTACACAGTAAAACACTGTATCAATTTTATGGAAGTCAGGCTTTAGTCCCTTGCTATGCTACTTGCTTGTGTCCTTAGGCAAGGCACTTTATCTACAGTTGTCTCTCTTAACCCAGGAGTACATGTGGGTAACTGGTAGGCTCAAACACAAAACACGCCGATTATAGCTGCAACATTATAGAATTCTCCATACGGAGCTGAGTATGTGTTCTATATGTGCTTGATCTAATAACTGGGGGTAATAATGTGAAGCGCCTGGAGGCCTTGTTGGCATTAAGCGCTAAGTAAGTCTAACAAATTATTTTTTATATATTCACTATTTGCAATCCTTGGCCTACACAGTTTGAACACTGTATGTAATCAAATAAAATCAATCAAGTCAGAATATGATAATTAATTATAAAAAGGATTTTTTTTTTTAAAGAAATTTAATTTGATTTTGCAACACAAGCAATTGAGAGCTTTCACTATCCAATGAAACATTCTACAAACAAGACATTAATATTCATTTGAATATTGCTAACGGAAACATGTTAGGTCAGGAAAAGTACAATTTTGATTGAGTGGGAGTCAACCACAGATGAAGGTCAAGGGTGTCCAAAAGGATATGGAAGAGAAAAAATACAGATGAAAAAAATTGCTGGTATTTTGTACTAGTAGCAATGTAAACTTTTATTGAGATTTAACGCAACAACCTACAAACCACCATTACGATTAATCTTCTCACAATGGTATATTTAAATAAAAATTAAACACAAAATTTCATAATAAAAACAATTTTTTTAAGTAAATATAATATTATTAATAAAAATAACTGAATCTTACTTCTAGGCTCTCAATTCCTTCCTTTACAATACTCCAGTTATGTCTAGGTTGAATGGACAGGTGTTCCCGTTCAGGTAAATGGCGACGGGGACTGCTGCCGAGGGCTGAATCTTCGTGCGGTAAAGACTCTGTGCTCTTTTGTCTTTCAAGGGGTGGTTTTTGTCGATCTTCAATAGCTCTGGGTTGGCTCGAAATTTTCCCTTGATCCTCTCCATTCAATCTAAGAAGGATTGATGTTTGAAATATATTTACGTAACACAAATGATGACTATTGACAATTTCTGTGTAACAAATCATTTTCCTATGAGGATCAATGTAAAAAATCTACATATTGATGGTAATGGCGCATAATACATGGTCTCTATGCGCTGATGTTCACAAAACAAAAAACACAAAAACCTAGACTACCAAGGAACTCAGAAATCAATAGAAAAGACTACCGCAGAGAAACCATCCATTGCATCGTTTTCTCAAAATTTAAGACCACTGATAGGTAGATCTCACTCTGATGGTAGAGTATTAAAAAATATGGTATGGTATGAACATTTCTTAGATATTTGCTAGTTTAGTCTTATTTATATATAATTAGCCTGAGCTAGAGAATTTACGTAAATCTATACTGGTATAATTAACATTGTAACATGCATACTAAGGAAGAATCAATAATTTAGTAACATTTTTTGATGTAAGTTAATTTGAATCAGATTGATTGAAAACTCAGAAAGGTCATGTATTGGGATGGGAGGAAATTAGTTACTGAAGAAAGTAATTATAAGAAGAATAGAAGGAAAGAGAACTGAAATCAAAAGAAGGAAGATAATTATGCAGAGGTTAATAAGAAAGCACAGCTGATAGATTAATGGAAAAACTGCAGAGTCACATACTAATAAACGGACTTGCGAATACGCAGATTGCTAACGATGACCCTTCACCCTTCATAGAGTATCTTGCTTTCAAAATCATTTTAAAATGTTCAAAATAATATCTTATCTTACCAATTACTGTTTTTTAATTATTAATAGAGGTCTCTCTCAAATTAAAGCCAGGATACGAAGGAAAAAAAATGTTGGATATGTTTTACAACTGAAGACAAAAAAAAAGACAAAACCTTGGGAATTGTTAATGAGTTGAATATTTCCCCTTTTCCCCTATTTTTTAAATATTTAAAAATCTGTATCTCATTAACCATTCCAGTGTCATTCGTCAAACATAACTTTTGTGTCTTAGAAAAATAAGTTGTATAACATATCAACAAATATTTTCCTTTGGATTCTGGCTTCAAAGACCCTTTCAATGTGAAGACCACCTCCAATTAAAGACCGCCTTTCTACAGCCCCAATTGAATGCCTATTTTATATCTTTTTTAAATATTTTTTCTAATTAAAGCCCAAAGCAGGAGAAAAACCTGGGCATTATTACTATTATCAGGGTTGTTAGCTGAAGAAAACTAAGAGTAAGTGAAAAAGTAGATTTTAAGGATGGAAAAGTGGGAGAAGCCCATGAAATTAGCTTTAGACTTGGTGGAAAACTTCAAGGCCAACCTCCACCCACCATAACTATAGTACATCCTTGTTTTATGTATTATTACTGTAATTAAACTCACAGTTGATTGTGACCAACATACTTTGAAGCTTATCAGCTGAGAATAATGTGTAAAAAAAGCCCCACCTACACACATTGCACACTGCAATTTTCACATTTAATTTTTAAAAAAACATTAAATGATGACAAATAACATTAGCAATACCTAGACTTTTGACAGGCAGGTGAACTTGCAGCTTTTTTCTTTGACAGATTCTTCTTTAACTTGCGTTCCGCTAGCAGGAAATATGTAGCAGTGATGTGATCATAGGAGTCACTTTCAAGAGAGCTGTACAGGATATAAGCAGAGTGTTCAGTAATTAGAAATCACATGTCTACAAAATTTGAAAGTGCCTTACTGTAGGTACAGAAATAATTATTTTCAAATTGCAAGTAGGAAGTATGGAACACTCTAGAATCTACTGAAAAAAAACCATGCAAAAGATGCATCTTAATCAGGGGAACAAGCAAAATGATTTTTTTCAAGGCTATGAGTAGCTGCCAATAAAATCAACTGGATCTCAATTTGCAGGGCATCAAGTTGGTTTCTTGGCCCTTTTTAGCTGTAGAGCTGGTGGCGTATTACGAGATGTTATAATTTTTCACTTCCTTTGATGAGTTAAAGCTACCCTATTTCAGCCCTGAATACAATACAGTAACTACAATAAGAGATGGTACAGTAGTTATGGATGGAATACCAAATTTGCCTATCTATGCTTTTTTTTTTTATCAATAGTTTCATATTAGTGTATTCTGGACCTACTCTATTGTGTGATGCCACTTCATATATAATTTTTTATTTGATTTTTTTTTTAAATGTATAAAATTATTGAAGCAGAGTGTGGTGGTTGGTGATGCTTGATTTAATAGCCAAAATATATACAGTATGCTGCAAACCTATGACAACCTCATGGTACAACCCAAGCTAATGCTTACTTTTAAAAGGGTTTAATTTTGTATTATATAAAATTATTATTTGGATCTCATAAACATAAACCTTGATAATGGCATACTGTATTGCTAAGAATGTATTGTTACAAAAATGACTGGCAATGTCATTAATTCCATAACTTATCATCATCATCATCATCATCAACTTTGAATCTACAGTAATTATACACTAGAATAGAGCAAGCAACTAATTTCTGCACGAATATAATGTACACATTTGTCATACTGTAGTATTGTATAAGTATACTTTACAGGATCTATGTAATTATATGGCAATGAAAAAAAAACCCAAATATCGAAAGAAAAAGTAATATCAGATTATCAGTAGCATTCTCATAATCTTGACAAGTCCCAATTAATTTGTAATCCACTATTCATTTCTAATATTCATTTTTTAATGAAAATGAAAACATCCTACAGTAGGTCTCACTCCTTGATTGGCTTTAACAAACAACCTAATTTACATAATCACTGAGAATTAAGGTGTGGAACAGGACTATAAATAATGCCATATAAAGGTACTATACTATACAGCCCCATGTGCTTAATCTTGAGAAAAGCACACCTGGAAAAGAAGCCTCCTCACCCTATTCAGTTTGTAAATGTAATCCTTTTGGCTTCTAATCAAGATAACATAGGCTTTTTCGAGGTACAGTGCATCCTCCAAATCGAGACCCCTCTAAATCCGAGACCCTTGTAAGTTGAGACCACTTTTCTAAAGACCCAAATAACAATCTTCAACCTTTTAACACAAAACTAGCCCTCTAACGGAGACCAACTCTGAGATCACACCAAATGTTCAGGTCCCTAAAGGCAGTCTCGAATTGGAAGACGAACTGTACTGTAGTACTATTTACACATTCAGACTGACGTTATCTTTGATTGCGTGTCAGTATAAATCATCGCTCACATCACGAACTAACACAATCAAAGTAGATTGTGTTAGTTCGTGAAATCAAGAAAGCGCGTCAAAATACGCGCTGTTGTTGTTAAGGACTTTTTGTGTGGTAAAGAATACAAAATTGCTTGACAACCAATACACGCTCGTTTTGACGCGCTACTGTGATTTCAGGAACTAACACAATTTACTTTGATTGTGTTAGTTCGTGATATGAACAACGAAATATTAATATATTTTTCTACCGTGGTAAAAACTTTGAATTCCATTTTGAATAATGTATAGTACTGAAGTAGCAATTCCAAAATTTACAGCATTCATTTTGAAAAGAAGCCATCGTGAAAAGAGGCCTGTTTCAAAAAGAAGCGCATACAAGGGTCCTTAAAAAAACAAGAAGCCCAGGGCCTCTACTTGAGATTTGACGGTATATTTATATAACTTTTATCAACTATATTTTTGGATAAGGAATTTGAACTTTTGTAATAGTGATTAAGGGTTATCAATTTAAAAAAATCAATTTCACTAGAGCAAAGAAAAAATATTTAAAAAAAGAAAAAATAAAGATGACCCCCAGTTGCCACTTCCTCCCTAGTTGACTGTTTTGATATTATTTGTAGTGTTTTTGTTCTGGTAGGTATGAAAGATAGCAACACAAACAGCCCAAGACAGAAACAGATAGAGAAACATATCACTGGCTGCACCCCACCCTGTAGATGGTACTCAGTAAAGAAAGTAAAAAAAGAATATAGATAATTATACTTTAATGACAGTTGATTAAGTTTGCATTTCAAGCAATCATAAGGACGCTTATTTTTATGTTGTATTGTTGTTGTAATTTACCTGGTAATAAATAAATATTATTATATGATCATTGGAAAGAAAAACATCAAAATCACAAAAGACTAGACTTACGAAAATAATTACAAGACTATAAAAAAACAACTATCACAAAAACAAATCTTTTGGTTGACTAATGTTTATGAAAAGGATTACGATGATTGCTTACTTTGTTATAGTGAATTCATCAGCGACGTTTCCGCAAATCATAGATTCGATTATGGCCGAATGCAGTCCAACAGATATATCCTGCTTAGTAATGAGCGGTTCAACTGCAATGGGTACTTGATTCATCTTGAGCCAAGGATGATTTTCAATCGTCTTTAAATCCAAACGTTTCTCGGGTTCGCGTACCAGTAACTGAGATATCAAACTGAAAGACGATAAGAATCAATCACATTTATTAAAGTATTTATACAGTACATGACACAACATATTACATGTAGTGATATTCTCTTGTTCCAAAACAGAACAACGTAACTTAACTAAATTATAAAAGCAGCTACGTTGTTTTGCCATGGGATGGCCGTATTGGTAGTCTATGAGTGGAAACTCACCTGGATAAATTATTACCCGCCTTCCCCGCTAACTAAATATCAATTTTTTGCGAGGAGTGACTGATTCGGCTCGTCTTTGCCACATATATAAAGTATAGTAAAAATTTAACATGGATAATGAGCAGTTTATTGGTAACTGCCTTCTGATCCCAGTAATCTAAAACCGTGGCACTCACTGCCTCATAGGACCGTCGGCCGACGTACCCAACCCCAGTCCCTGTTAGCGTCAGACAATGCGACACAATCTGCTAATTGTCGGTAGCATCCATTGTGTGCACGTAGTGGAGTTGCTTTTTCCATGAACTCACGTCACCCGACGACTGTCATGCGCTGTGAGTGCCTGGTTTAAGCTGCACTGCACTTGAGTGCACAAACCTCACCACTCTCTATTTTAGGAGAGAAGCCCTTATCATCAATTTTGGGAAGAAGATTTTGGAATCTGACATCTATAGGTACAGTATATCCTTCCCAATTACCGTGTTGTTACAAGAGAGGTTAGATCTATTTCCCTAAATAAGCCCCCACCCCCTTGATATCCCTTTTGGCAGGACTAACCGTTTTAGAAATTCTCCGGTTCTTACTATTTGTAAAATTCTAAATAGGTATAGGTAAACACATTGCTAATTACGTTAAATTTCAGTGCAATAGTTGATCTCAATCTCGTATATGTGTTTTTTGGTGGTTGTGGTTTTTGTGTTTTTGTGATGCTAAAGTTTTTTGCTTGTTTTGTTTTGTGGTTTTGTTTAATTTAAGTTCCTTTGCTGGTGTCTTGTATCTGCGTTTTTTTTTTTTGTTTTTTTTTCCCTTTTTGTGTGTGTAAAAAATGTTTTTTTTCAATAATTTTTGCTTTAGTTTAATTGGATTGTGAATTTGATAGATTTCTTTTTTTTTATTTTGCTACCTTTGGTGTAATATATATATATTTTTTTGTAAACCAACGATTTCAGCTACGGGCTGCCTGTTTTGGTGTTATATTTTTATATATATAAATAAATAAATAAATAAAAATAAATCCTGCCAACTCCCTGATTTTTCGGGGAAGAATATCAGATTCTTAGCCTCATAATGAGCCTTTCAGATTAATTACATCCTGTAAATGTAGAGTTACTAGTTAACGTTACTGACATCCTGCTCTTATATAAACATTCACTTATAAGACAAAATACTAATGTTGCTTATAAATTGTCTTCATATTATGTTTATCTTATGTTTGAAGTCCTCTTTCCTCATTGCTTTGTTTCCTCTGTTCTGTAGGATATGATTAGCCCACAAATCAGCATTTTGGGGTTTTGAAATTTGTCAGAATATTACTGTCACTCTATATTTTAATAGAATGTTTAATGCCACAGTTTTATATACAGTACTTAAATTAATTGCTATGTCATACCAAATAAATCCCTCCTGATGCAGAATACAATCTGATTTCTTTTATTATGTCAAATTTATAAAACATTGAGGGGGAATTTATTCGAGGGAGGTGGTTATTCAAGGGAGGCGTTTATTTTTTTTTTTGGGTGTAAAATGAACATGTAATACTCAAATAAACACCCCTTAATTTCACAGTAAATGTGGAAGTACAACACTATTGACCCAAACAGGTTACAACTACTGGAGCAGAACATTAATAGAATGAGTTGAGAATGATGTTGATTCAACTATATTTGTTTACAATCATTGAGGGGGCGTATTTTCGAGGCAAAAGTATTGGCCAGGGGCATGGATTCGAGGGAGGAATTATGCAAATAAAAACAGTAGTATTTTTGTCTTCTTCATTTAAAGATGTTAATTCCTCAAAGATTTTCAATCTGGAGCCTTAATTCTCAGTAAACAAGTTCCTTTGTATTAATAAAGCTTAAATTGTTTTCTTTGAAATCTAGGACTGAACAGTATGCACCTGGATTCTGAAGCTATGATTACACTCCATTCATCATCATCAGCATGTTAAAACGCAACAATAAACATCTTTAGGAGAACTCTTCTATTTTATGAGAAGTGGACCACTATTTATTACACTGGTTCGTAGTCAGGCATACTCAACTGCTTTCATACTGGGCAGTATTATTATATTAAATTAATGTGAGTGATGATTTTTTTCTATCCCACAGTGATTGAAATTGTGTAATTAAAATAGTGAATAAAAACTTTAAGACAGCATCGAGGGAAAACAGTTAAGAAATCATTCACCCCCCATATTGTTATAAATAAAATGTGTTCGATAAGGCAGCTGCCCACCAGGTCACAATTGTGGGAATACTAATTCATTCTATTGCACCTCTCAAATGAAAAAGAATGTTATGCACTGCATGCTGGGAGGGTTATCCTAGTAGATACTGTCCCTGACTACTTTTTTTATAATGCCACTTCTCCAAGATTGGCAGGTCAACCGTAGCATAATATTGGCTTGACCGAGCAATAAGTCTGTGGGAACAGTCACTGGAATGGTATCATAAGGTTGACCGACCAATTTTAACCGACCAATTTTAACCCACCATTTCTGGTTCATGATCATGATGTCCAACTGTTGGTGAAGCGCTGTAGAGTATGTATTTATAGCGCAGACATGGACAACAATGCATTGTAAAATAAAACCATAGCAACAAAACCATAAACTGTGCTCGAGGTCACCATGCTGCGTGAATGAGTTGAACCCACCATTATCTTGGGATCAACCAGGCAACATTTAAACAACAAGGTTTGAACAACATTTTAGTTATTTCACCCCATCATTATCCTAGGATGGATTAGTCATGACAAAAAATCTACTATATTCAAATTTGGACCTCAAGACGATGGGAGTGTGACGCTTTACCATCAAGCCATTATTAAACAGATAGAACTCCCATGATATTTACAGTATTACACACTGGCATCGCGAGCACCTTCGCTGCATCCATTACCTATATTACTTTCAATTGATGAACAATTACAATTACTGTATTAGCCTGAGTTCCAATATATAATAATACAGGCCATCTAGCATAAGCTTAATAATTGTCTTTGCCCACTCGTCCTACTGTACATCATTTTCATTTTAGGCCCTTTTTATTTAGGCAGGACTATTTTTTAGCCATGCCTAACTAGTCAACGCAAGTGGCTCATTTTCTGTACACGTTTGTGGCTCTGAAAATGTCAGCATTGTGATTGGTTAAAATCATTTATTTCAGTCCGCCCATTTATTCAAATACGGAATATAAGATTACGTCATTCTTTTGGCATCCGGATACCTGCATTCAGTGTTTTACAAGTCCCTTATTCCATCTCTAAATTTACTTGCTCGTTGGTGGTGATGTCCAGAATAAGAAAAAAGAATTATAAGGGACTAAGTCTATTACCGTACTGTACCTGAAAGGAATTTTTGAACAAGAAAATACTTTGTCTTCAAAGTATCATAATCAAACTATGCTTCTAAATACCTTTGATTATAACTAAAAATTTTGTTAACATAATTATACTGCTTTGGATGAAAACCGGTTAAAATCGCAATAGTGAGGATGCTTGAGGACGCTCACCTTTGTGCATACATTAGTATCAGTACGGTCCTAACTGTATAAATACAGCTACTGCGATTTGATATTCAAATGTCATACCATTTATGGTTGACACTATAAGAACATAAGAAGGAGGCAGGCTTTTACATGTAATATGTAATCAAAATTCTTGTAGCATTTTTGTGGTTAAATATATTAAAAACAACAATCTTGTATTTTCTTCTTTATGTGTTTATACTAGCATTCACATGGTTGTAGGCTGTAGAAAACTAAGGGTGGGTGATACATTTTAAGGTTGGGTAGGTGATAACAATGTTAAACTCTAAATAATAAGAAGGGATTTTAAGGATGAAAAAAATGGGTTTTTAATAAGGGTGGGTGGAGGGCCATGAAATTAGCTTTAAACTGGGTGGAAAACTTCAAGGCTGGGTGGTGCCGCCCACCTCCACCCACCATAAGTACATCCCTGCAATCACTCCAGTCTCCGGTGTGTAGTGAAGATTTCCCTTTAAAGTAAAGTGTCAGTTACTCTGCTAATGGCAGATACAGTATTATAGTAGCATTAGAAAGGCCCACTGAAGAAATGAATGACCTGGGCATAGCTGGGACCTACAGTACTGTATACTGTACTCCAGAATGTGTGACAGCTCCTCCCGTTTTCCAGCTCGCTGTGTTTGAGCATTTCGTTCCCTATATGTTGGAAAACACTTGCAGACTGCACGACTGGTGTCCATGTCTTGGTGCTCTCGATCGCTCAAGCGATCTCTGGCCACAACATGTTGAGATATAACATTTAGCACCCTCTACTGTGTGTTGAAATTTTCATGCGTATACAGTAAATAATGTACAAGAACAGCATGCTTATAAAACAGACTCCAAAATGATCTGTATTTACAGGGTACGTGTGCCAAGTTTCTTTGCAATAATCCCTTCAGCAGTTTCAGAGCCTTTACAGATACTGTGTGAATTTTTTTTTTTTTAAATTCCAATTCCAGTAACTGTAAAACAATATTACTTTCTTCAGCAATTTCGATGTTTTATACTCTCTCCTCGTTGCCTGTAAATGTCATAACCCAAAAGATTTATGCATTTAGAGATTGATGCTAGGCATACAGAATAGTAGAAGAATACATTTTCATGTTTAAATCTTGCTGGGTTGACATTTAACATACTGTTTATATGTCTGTACAACATGATCTAATTAAACGGGACAATACTGTCTAGGTGAAATTAGTTGTACTGTAATCTATAGTACTGACATTTTGTCAGGAATAAGCATTTAAGCAGTAATAACTGCTGCAAGAAGTTGCATGATGGGAACTTGATGAATAAGTAGCAATAATTACAATTAATTAAAACATATATCATTCCTCACTTGACATACAGTAATTCTGTCTCATAAAAGCTGCCAATATCTCTCATGCATTAAACATAATTCAAATTCAATTTGTAGTAAATTAAAACAGGGGGAAGAGATCCAACAAGTCAATCTTGTGGTCCAAGCAATGTGGCCAGCTACTGTACTGTAAGGCTACCAGTCTCAAGTCTAGAGTAAAACTCCTAATATGGTTTAAGTGTTGGGGGAGGGGGTGATTTTATGGTCTTTGGACACAAAAAAAATTTTCTTAACAATATACTATAATTAGGCTGCTGGTAACAAACCGCATTTTTAGTTGCATCAGCAAATTAATCATTTTAGTTCTATTACGTGACAAAGTGTATCCGAAGTGAGTAGGATATCATGCTTGTCAACACAAAGAATTTTTTTTCCCTACTCCCCGCTGCTGTAGTTTACTGCCTACTTGCAAATGCAAGGCGATGAGAAAAAAAAATTCTCACCCAAATTGCAACATTACAAAAACTTTTCAGTCTATAGAGTTGTAGACTGTAGAATATAAATAGTTCCTTTTTCCTCATTTTTCCTATTGGCTTGTGCAGATAAGATTAGATTCAATGTCATCTGATTAACAACTTTATCTGAAGAAAAAAACTAATGGCCAAAAAAGGTGACATTCCATGTTTTTCAAAAAGGTTGAACAAGAAACTATACTGTACATATTTTTGTGATTGGGTCTAATTAATTTTAATTTAGAATTTTGCAGTTTGATAGGTCATCACTTATAGTTGTACCATTGTCATAAAGTGGACTCCATGAAATTAACATTAACAAGCAAGCCAGCCTGCATTTGGTGTTCAAATGAAAAATTATTGTTAATAGCAACCCCAACTACTTACTGTATTCACGACATTAAATTGATGATACATTTATGATGTATTAAGATTTGCTGCTAAAAAAATTAAGAATTTTTTGACATGAATAGCATCATAATGTTTGTTAATAATATGTTTTTCATACAGTATCCATTTTTTGGGCTAATGTACCGCCCATATTTTCATAAGCCAAAAACAATAAGAAAATCGCAACCTTTCATGTATGTTTTATTGCTTTTCAGTTTAATCTCTAAAATGAAAATTATGGAAATGTGGCACAGCAGTTTGACTTTGGCCTTTCAATTGAGTGCTTCCAAGTTTGAGTCCAATACTGAGTAATTGCTTGTAAACTTGCAGAAACTATTTTTCTGCAGTATTGCATGCTTCACTCTACACTTGGGTGTATAAATGGGTACCTGGCAACATGTGAATAATTTTGTCTGGAACTGAATTACGTATTGAACAAAAATTTTCTCTAGGGATCAAAAGTGGTTGAACATTGTGCGTGATTAATTATGTATCCAATGACATCTTGGGAAGACAGTTTTGAAACATAACAAAATAGTGGTTATAAATGACTAGATTAAAAATATGATTGGTCCTAGATTTCAGCCTGTTTGTGGATAGTGCCATTTGCATTACAATTCAATTAAGGTATTTCTTTACATCTTGAATTTAAGTGTATGTGCATGTATTATATAATTATATAAATTAAACTACTGTATAGTACTAAATTTTTTAATTTATTTTTAATTTTTTTAATTTTATTTTATTTATTTATTTAGGCACACAACACATGCACCAAGAATTGTCAATAGTGAATATCTCTGTTCTACTTGTAAGTGACAATCGCTTTCTCAAGACAATGCAACACACAATGCTTTATCCAATGTGTGTAATATGTTAAGGCTGTCAGTTTGTGGGACACTAGTGATACAGTATCCCATGGGTGAACAAACTTGTCTTGTTTGTAAATTATGATAATTGTATATAACTCTAGTCTCCAAGGTTCATAAAGGTGGCACCATACGATCAGCTGGATAGAGCGATGTTTTAAAAAGCTAATGTATTTTCTTACCTTCTACAGGAGTCAGATATATGGTCTGGAAATCTATACTTGCAGTCCATAATCATTGTTAATGTTTCGCTGTCATTGGTTTCGTTGAAAGGAGGTTCACCACAGACAAGCATATATAGCAACACACCAAGGCTCCATACATCTAAGAATAAAAACAGATTAAAAACATTAGAAGGTTCTCAACAATATTAAGAATATTCCTTTGGAAAAAAAGCAATTCATACAAATTTTAAGTGATTATTATTATTATTATTTTTGTTACAATAAATAACTAATTGTTATTAGTAAAGTACAATAAATAACTAATTGTATCATCATTTTTTGACAAGGAACTAACCTGTACCCTTTAGGCATGAGTGATTTGACACTGCTAGCTATCAATTCAAGGGTTACAATAGCAATGGATTTTTTAAAGCTACAGGATGAAATTTCAGCTAAGAAAATGCTTATTACTCTTCGTACAGCCAGAAAACACTGACAGATATTCTGGTGTACGCCTATTTACCCACCCTCTCCCTGAACAAATCAGACAAAGTTTGGTGCAGATGAGAACCAGAAAATAGTTCAGCCTGTAGCCTTTAATAAGCTTGCATGTAGCAACTGAATTTATTAACACTGCCTATTGATACTGTACTTATTTAATATCAATTTAATAATAATCAATGTCAGATATTGTAAATCAGTGAATATTATATTAGTATACAGTAGTATTATCAGTACCATTATGATTATGTACAGTACTATTCCATTATTCTTTGAGGGATGTTCTCTCACATCGAGTGAAATGGAAATACTACAGGCATAGTACGATAATAAAATAAACAACGATAACAATAACAATAATAATACAGTATTTGGTATTATAAAGCACTCTAAAAATTTTAAAGAGTTTCACATTATTAATGATTAATAACACGATTTAAAAAAATTCAAAAGATGACATCTTAAAAACATATAAATGTATGTATCTAATAGTTGGTGAGAAAAACATTTTCTCTTTAAAATTTCAAATGAAAGCTAATTTACACAGTACTACAATGTAAGCAAATAAAAAAGGTATTATTTTTTTAATTAGTTGTTTGCTCAACAAAAGACGTCAGAGTATATCCTTAATGTCCTGGTCAATTACCGATATTATATAATGTATAATCTTTTCATATACAAGTAAGTCCTTGGCATACATCTTACTTAATGTGTCTGACAATTGATACTTTTGCGATTTGACTTAAAATAGCTAAGCTCTATTGAAAAGTTTAAAATAATAGAACTGAATATTTCAAATAACAAATTTTTGAGATTATGTAATATCCTACAGTAGATAATCACGCTTAATTGTTACTGTTTAAAAACATCAGGATCATGTGGACATTGCCAAAAAGAACAATATAATTTTTTTACTGTATTATGTACAATTAATAGTTTCTGAGGCCTAATGACTTATGTACAGACAATTTGGTCATAAAAATTCAAACTACAGTGAGTTATCTTAATTTATCAATTGAATGTTGATGCTGTTGCTATCTGACGTAAAATCAGGAACAAGTCGAAGAAACAAAATTAATCAGATCTTGAAATGCTCATATAAAAGGAACTAAAACATGCCAAAAATAAAAACTTCCAGATACAGATCACCTTAACTATGGAATAGTCTATCAAATGAAACAGTTAACATTAGTTGTTAATCGGTTTACCAAGACAATGACTAAAAAAGTACACAAGAAATCGGTTTTGGCCTGCTTATCATGAATTGATGCCGTACCAAAGAACGGTCCTGTTTATATTGCCAAAGGAAATTGTTCTTTGAAAGAACGTTTTTTTAGAAACCGTTTTACTTAGCTAGGAGAAATACACCCATTTACGGTAATTTTTTTTTTTTTTAATGATCAACTGATATGTAATGTACCTTATCATTTACTTAAATTAGTAGTACAGTTTATTTTTTTTAAAATTATTATCAATATTAATTACAGTACAAAAAAAATTAAAATTATACAATACCGTATTAAAAATACTACAAAATTTACTATTTTAATCAATATCAAGTATCATGTGTATGACAGGTTCTCAATGCTGCGAAATTTATTACACAGTAATTAATTACAAATTATTAAATTAATAATATATATAATAAACAATTAAATTACACAAGAAAAATTAATGATATAATATATCAACATGGGTCCAATAACAACAATCCAGTCAGCAATAGAATAAAGCTTACTGCTGTATATATGGGAAGCTGCAAGTGCTGACAATATACAGTATATGCTAGCCGTGTATAAATTATTCGGTAATTCATTGTTGTACTAAATCTATGCACAAGTATCAAGCTCTTTGCCATGGCTATGCTAGTCTGCATGTATCTTTCCAAGTAATTATTTGCCAGTCATGTACAGTAGTCTACTGTACTCTATGTTAAATATGTTAAACATATTTACAAATGAGGCTCAGGAAAGAGTTGCGAGAAACTGTAGCAGACATCTTATACAGTATTTAGAGAAACTGGATATATATTTAAACATTACAAACCTATGTTTTATATGAACTGCAAATAATAGTTAATACATTGATAATTTACCATAAATTAGTACTACAGTAAAACATGGAAAAATATACATTTAACAGTAAAAAGATTCTTAAAATAATATTAACTTAGTTACAATCACTTGATCATATCATAAAACATCCATCTCAACTATCCACTGCAATATACAGGCCTTGTAACATTGTCCTAAATAAATTTCATTCGTGCAGACATTTTGACAAATGTCAGTTTTTCCAACACCAATCATGGTTAATACTAAGCTATGACTTGCGTTATAATGTACTTGATATCTTTATAATATAGTCTATTCCACTTTCTTTATACAGGCTCTTAATATAAAACAAATCTAACTGTACACTGAAGTTACTGTAGTTGATCACTAAATCTATTGGTGCAATGAAATAAATGTTTTTTTCCTACACATTAAATATCTCTAAAACTGCTATTTGATCCTTCAAAAATCTTCCTCATTTTTTTAGGCTTGATGACAGATATATTAAGAAAAAAAAGGTCAAATAAATATGGAATTTCCTGTAGACAAGTTTACTAATTAAAATATTTAAATACTTTTTGATTATCTAGTTCAAGTGTAGAATGATTTTTATGTTGCTCTGGTATACGTGACAGATTGTGTACAATGAGGAAGTAACTAACAATCTACAGTACTTTATGCTTTCCTATTTTTGCTTCTCAGATAGAAATTACTAATACATTTATGTACAAGATATTAAGAAACATTTATAGAATCAGACATACAGATTATATATAATTAGTCAGTAGACATCCACTACAGGTATATCTAATTATTTAAATTACTATATTAATCATATCACAACATCAAGCTTAAATTAAACATCTCTTATTAAAAATACACATTTTCCATGTGTGTTGTTGCATGTAATGCAATACTGAACATTTTGATATAAAAAATGTGTTAACACATGGTATTTTTGTATCGATATCGATTTGTAGAAATTTGATGTACTGTACTGCTTGTTTATTAGATTTTAGTTACTGAACTACTGTATAATTATGGTAATAATGTACTGTACTTCGCAATTCAGACTCTGGCTTCTACTAACAGATCATACAGTAGCTGTAAACTATGATAATGTGCACGAAAGGCGGCCACAAGGAGACCCCAGGAAAGATGGATTGACTATATAAAAAGAAATGACTGCAAAATTAGATCATTGCATAGATGCATTAAGAACTGACTATGCAAGACAAGATTGTGAACTGGATGAACCAGATAAGCCAAGGCTTTGTTTGGTAAACCTGCAGTATAGTACAGTATTGTTCAGCCACTAATATTAATATTTTAAATAAACCAAAATTATATTGTATTCCTGAATAGCGTACTCACAGCTGCCATAAAAAATATTAAAATTTTATCATGCTCACCACCAATGAATCGTTTCTTCTTGACAATGAAATAAATTCAAAGTATTTATCACCAATTACTATTAAATAGTTTATGCACTTATCAATTGCAGTCCCAGAAACAGGCCTAGTTGGGACTTAGCCGGAGATGTAATTTAGGAAACAGACTTACATGCATGTAAAAGTCCTGGTGACCTCCCGGCAATGCTGGGCATCGCTTATATTCTCGGCTAAGTCCCCACCACTAACCGCTGAGGAATATTTCGTAGTCCAGATAAAATTTCCCGCTAATAAACGATTGGATGGTAAGGCCTACTATAGCAAACATGCAGAGCGAGACATGAAAACAATTGGAGGTCTAGCTTACAGTATGCCTGAATCAGAGAAGCATGTGACAGCTACTGTACATTAGGCAGGCTAGCTAGGCCAAGGAGATAAGCTTGCTTGATGGAAGCACTACAGTAGGTATGTGTATCATTAGGCAGATTTCCATAGAAGTTTGGAAAAGTGCAAAAAAAAGAAGTGTATTGATTGATCATAGAAAAAGAAATTTGAATGATTGATTTAACTGATTGATACAGTAGTTCATTCAGTATCAAAAAAGAAAATTAATAAAGTAGTAGAAACAGATTGCTTTGCCTTGCCTAATTGGCTCACTGGTGTAATTTTTGAAGCAAACTGAGTCAAATACGTGGTTCACAATTGTCACGCTATGCACTTACATCACCTCAATCCTCGTTGTGTTGTCTGTGTGTGGACGTTCAAATTTTATTATGTAATTTATACCTTGATCATTGTACAAAATAGGCTATAAAAAATGAAACCATGATAGTAGGCCTAGAGTACCGTAGACAATTTTTTAATTACCAAAACACAAAGCATTTGTTGAATGCCTAGGCCTAGTGTAGGCTAGGTAGGACCAGACCATTTTTAATAGAACTAGGCATACACCTGAAACCCCGGCTACTCTAACATGTAAAATTTACAAGCGCAGTACTAAAGTTTGATAACCAAGATAATCTAATATTAACAAACCCTCGCCTTGTTGCGCCATATTTATAAATATTTAAAAAATAATAGCCTGTGGTCGATCCACTTCATCCGCCAAACGAGGCCTCGCGTGGCAAGCCCATCAATCGGGCAAGTTTGCACGCTGATTGAACAATACACTTGAGTCGGCTCTGTCAGTTGCGGCCGAAAGATACATAACATTCTAAAATCTGTATCTTACTTCCGATCAGCATAATGTGTGAAAATCTTAAGTAAATCAGTGCAGTATTTTTCGAGTTATGCGCCCGGAAGGACACAAACAGACAGATACAGTACGCACTATTCCAATACTGTACCCTTCACCTCTCCTTCAGAGGTTAGAATGATGATGCTAAACTAATCATTTTTAACTTTCAGCATATATTTAGGTCAAGATATTATTAAAGGGTGGTGGATATTCTAATAATAATTTTAAAAAACCAAATTAAGTAGTTTATTCATACAGCAGAAATGAATAATGCTGGTTAATGATTTCAACGTTTTTCATGTTTTTATATTGATAATGCAGTAGATAAACAATATTTGATTTGATGTGTACTTACTAACAGTAAGCCTACAGTACGTGTACATTGCAAATTGTTATCAGTAGAATCTGTCTACAAATTTAAATCACTGACGATGTTAAAATCTACATTGACTCTAATAATAAATCACAGAATTACTGTATAATGTAGTCTGTAGACATTTTTCTGTACAAATACTAGTCACATGAAGAACACAGCAAATGAACTGAAACCTTAGTAATTTTTAGTTACTGGTAAGTTTATACTTGCAAAGTACTTTCTAAAATATCTTTATACTTCTGTCTGAAGATGCAGTAAAAAAAAAAAGGTTAATGAACTAGAATTACTAATATTACTTCCATGTATAGTACTTTAATAAACCAAGAACTATAAAATATTTGCTGTTAGCTCATTCTGGTTTAAATTATATGAATAAAGATGTTAAATAAAACAGGTGATCATCTGTGTCATTGGTTGTTTTTTTTTACACTATTTTTTTAGTGAAAACAATATGCATCTGGGATTTTCCAATGTTTTTAATATATGATTCAGGACAGCATAATGTGGCCTATAAATTACTGTAATACTGATTTTGGTTACAGTAGTTCTATTTCTTGGTACTGTAGACTGCAATGAATGATCAAAATATCTACATACAAAGTTTCAAATGTAAAAACTTAAATTGACTACTTCCACAAGATTGGGATTTTCCCATTATTTTGAAAGTACAGCCCACTGTACAAGGATCTAGAGTTTGATCATGTGCACTGTATTTTGATCATGTGTAAAATTCTTTTTCTATGATGGTAAACTATAATTATGTCTGTCACATGGCAAGAGGTTCTGTTGTGCAATCATATTCTTCAGGACATACGGGAATATCTAGGTCTTTTAAAAAACGATCTTAATTTGCATTGCATCTTTTCTCGGCCATTACTGTATGTATGTATTTTTGTGTGATCTTTTATTATTGATAATACCATTTGGTGGATTTATCACTATTAAAAACCTTTAGGCACTTACAGATATTGAAAAGGAACGAAATCAAAGTAAAAACAACAAAATGTAACATGGACAAACCAGCCAAAACAACCCAAAATCCACTCTGGTGAATTACCAGACTCCTACTCAAACAATGAAAATTGATGTACAGTATTATATTATATGAAAACAATTAAATAATACCTGAATAGTTTGTAAAGCTTTTGCTTAATTTTACTTTTGATATGGAAGTTCTTATAAATTGGATGGGTTGAAGATCAGAAGGTGGTCAGACAAATGATTTTCCAGCCTACACTTATATTTCAAAATACAATACAAGTGATTTCAAATGTAATAAAATTATAATACACACGTAACCACACTGGCAGGAAATCCTTCATTAATTATTATCAGTCATTTTCACTATGTTGATTGCATGATTTCTATGGTATCATTCATTTAAATATTAATTTCTTTTTGTAATATTAAAGACTTAACTACAGGTTACTTAAACTTAACTTCCAGTACTTAAAATCCTAAACAATGATGTTTAGAATGTACAATAAATAGTAACAGTAATAGCCTAAATAGTAACAGATTACCAAGTTATATTTTTAATGTAAAAACATTTTGTTTGTTTTTTTACTCGTATTTTTGATGTTCTTATTTTGTAAAAATGTGACTGATTTTTTTTGTTTTGTCTTCGTATTTGGATGTTGTAAACTTTTATATTGATTTTTTTTTTTGATGTCTATTTATATTTTGATTATATTTGAGTTTGGTTTTTAATTAATGTTTCCTTCTGTATTTTCTTTATTTTGTTTCTTAGCTGAATTCGTACTCCGAGCTGAATTCGTACTCCGATTCAGCTCCTTGGTCTGCTATTCTGCTTATTGAATAAAAGAATTTGAATTTGTATGTTGTATTTGTTCCTACTTTTCCTGTTGAATTTAAAATGAAAAACAATAGTCAATAAGTGTGGATTAGTCATGGCCTAGTAACAATAAGTAAAAATTCATTATCTGAAAAAGAGGTTTAGTACATCTGCAAATTCTGTACAAACAATTAACACATATAAATTATACTGTTCATCTTTTTTGCCAATAATTTAAACTCATTATAACCATCAATTTTCAGGATTATGACTGCTTACGCTTTCAGTAGCTCCTCCTATCATCAATAATATTTTCATCCACTGAGACTTGTTTATTCTACACTAGGGTAATTATACAGTTTACAATAACTGAAATCTGAGAGTAAACCTAGCCTACAATATTGCATGAATTGTTTATTAAATATCCTTCCATTTTTTTTGTCAACAAATTAAAAAAATACAACAAACAATAAAAAATTACACAGACAACAAAAATCAGATACGAAATAAACAAAAAGCAAAATTAATTTCTGTATGCATGAAAGTTTCTCTGCTGATAATGCAGTGTCGTAACATATTGTGTGCTTTCTTTTTACACATTAGCAAAATACATTATACCTACCTACAGCAGGGGCATCGTAAGAATCACCTAGTAAAATTTCCGGTGCAGAATATGCAAGACTGCCACAACTTGTTTCAAGTTTTTGTCCTGGATTGTAGCAGTTGCTGAATCCAAAATCAGTTAGTTTTACAACTCCTTGATCCTTAAAGAATATCACATTTTCAGGCTTTAAATCTCTATGTACAACATGAAGCTTGTGACAATATGACACAGCCTGTACAATCTGTATAAAATATATTCTTGCAAAGTCTTCTCCTAACCCATTTTCATGCTGCATTATATAATCATACATGTCACCGCCATCTCCAAGTTCAAGAATCAAGTAAAGTTTTGTTTGGGTGTCAATAACTTCATATAATCTCACAACATTGGGGTGCTGCACAAGTTTCATACATGTCACTTCCTGTAGAAGGTGTGCTCTAGAAATTTCATCTAGCTTAGTCTTATCAATAACTTTTACGGCCACCTTTTCGTCAGTAAATATATGACGGGCTAACTTGACAACAGCAAAATGACCCTTGCCTAACGTTTCTTGCAAATCATAGAGACCGGTCATTTTGCTGTCAGATGTACTTCTGCTAGACCCCTTGAGGTGGGTCATCATAAATCCTCCGATACCTGCTTTTGAAGGGAAGAGATCATATTTACCAAACGTCGGAATTGTTCCTGGGATATATAACTTCTGTGCTGGCTATCATATTTTCTAAAATATCATATCTATCCAATAATTCTGTCAAACAATTAGCATCCAAATTCAACGAAAGCCGGTGAAGCTTCCTACTCAGAACTCTAGCAGGGTAGGCGAGCGTGGACTACGAGCCAGAGCACACAGGCAGTTGGCTGGGAGGGAATACTCGATCGTTCATCATCCTTTTATCAATAATGTACATGCGCAGTATAGGAAAACTATATGTCTTAACATATGAAAGACCAATGCTGATTAGTCAAATATTTTTTTAGACTGCCGTATTAGCCATTAAGAGAGCTCGTAATACAGCTTGATGTCTCAGCATTGTATTTTTATTGTACAGTTTTTGTCGCCGAGCACCGCCACAGAATTTACCCACACCACAGATCGAATAAATCTTATTTTTCCTATGCCATTACGATGCTCTCTTATAATATAACCATTGAAACATACATCAACATAATTCAACCTACTCTTTATTTAGCTTTCTATTTCCATGGCTGTACCTTCGAGGGCGCATTCAAATCCATTAGAAAATTATACAGTTATAAGTTAAATATTGAATATTATTATTATTATTATTATTATTATTATTAAACGAAGACTCTGAAAGGTAAAATTTTCGCTATTATTATTATTATTATTATTATTATTATTATTATTATTATTATTATTAATATAATAATATACATGATAATAATGAATAATGATAATGATAGTGAAAATGATTATGATAATGAAAATAATAATAATAATAATAATAATAATAATAATAATAATATTAATAATAATAAATATATAAAAATAATAATAATAATTAATAAATAAATTGAGACTGAGTATTATATACCATAATTATTATTAAACCATAATGGCTTTAAGTATATACAACCATATTTTCTAATTTTTGATTTGGACGACGACCATCTCGATTATGATGTTAATTTTGATGATTAATGATCATGATAATGATGATGGTGTGATAAGCTGAGTTCGGATACAATATTGTAAATTAAAGATTCGCGAATTTGATGGGCGGAGATCATGGGGAGTGGGGATAGACCCCCCCCCCAACACATATTTTTAAGGGTTGGTCCCCTCATCGACCGCAATGTAATTCCATAAGTCAAGAAGACGGGCCTGAAAATTGTTGAAATAACATAAGACTCAGGTTTTAACGAGAGACCGCAGTACAGCTAAGAGTACGGTACATCTTATCTTATAGCAAGATACCGGTATCTCTGACCAAATACCTATAATACACTCTCAACTAATACGCGTGCCTTTAATTTGAGTTTTGAGAAAAAGCGTGATAATTAGTTTTAGACACATGAAGTAGGTAAAGTATAGTAAATTGTAGGCCCCTACATCAAAGACAATGCTTTATGGTACATCACACCCATTATTTGATTTCTATGATCGCTGATAAAGAACACGAGTTTGTTGGCGCTTTTTGGCTGTAATAATGAGTATTAATGGTGGTGTGATGATGATAAATTTACTCATGAGTGTTCCGGTCATGTACTTTCCCGAATGAAATGTTGTTGTCCCCCACCACCTCCACCTTTCCAAATAGATCTGTCCCCTTGGCATTTCAGAAAATTCAAATTATTTATGCCGATACTACATATTGTATGGTTTAATGTACGTGAGGATGTGGGAGAAGCACACTCCTCCAAGAAGAAGCTCCCCTCCCCCATCACAACCCCGCTGGGCCAAAAAAAAAAAGGG